GGGGGAAAGGGGGAACTGCCCCCCCGCCCCCCCCATGGAGGATGTGGCGGCAGCAGCAGCCTGAGATGGGGAGGACTGGGGTTGGAGCCACCATGGTCGGGGGAGGGGCACGTTGGCCCCGACCCTTGTCCCCAAACTGCCAGGGGCAACAGGATCAGGGCTGAAGCGATTGGTGAGGGGAAGGGCGGAGGAGCAGGGTCTGGCCTGAATGGGGGTGGGACGGGGCCGGATGAGGGGAATGAGGGCTCAGGGCCGGACACTGGGCTCTGTCCCTGTTGGCCCCCCGCGTGGGGGTGGAGGAGCGGCCCTGGACCCGAAGCGGTGGGGGGGGGGGGAGCAAGCCTGGCCCCAGGCCTCTGTCCCCACCCCCAAGCTATGGAGTGGACAGGCCAGCACTGCTGGCTCTGGCCCCTGAACCCTGCAGGCAAGGGAGTAGATGGAGAGGAGGGGTGGCTCGGTCATGAAGATTGGAGGCGGGGGGGGGGGGGGGGGGGGGGCCGGATAAAAGCCACTGTCACAACCCCACCCCCACCCCCCGGCGCCATCGTTCTTGATAGGCAGTTGGTTAGTATGTAATATTTGTCACAGTCAGAGACAGGCTACTGGGCTGGGTAGAACACGGTCTCACCTAGTAGGCTACTACTTTATTAAAATAGTACTAATAGAACTTATATGAATAGAAAGATGATGACAACATGAGAGCTGTGACCTCACTTAAGAAATAGAGCTGTGTGATTAGTCATTTTGGATATTGAATATTTCTTTGTTAAATAACATCTGAAAAACAGTGGAAAGCCTAGAACTTAAATAGTGTAGAAATTCATCCAAAACTCATTGAAGTCAATAAACTTCCCATAGACTTAAGCGTCAGGCCATCCTTCAGTATTTATACTTCTTTCTGTCTTGGAAAATCAGTCTTTGATATCATTGGAAACATATTGTTCATACATATAGATATGCGTATATTCAATGTATGCTGAAAGTTTCAGGCCATGATGGCTCTAGAGGAGTTTAATTAAAAAGGTTTTTTTTTATTCTGTTCTATTTTTTTTATTCTATTTTTCTTATCTGAGAGTGAACAAAATCCATAATGTATATATTTTAATTTTGCAGTAAATTTGTTTGGCTCACGTTCTGGATATTTTGGTACTTTGACTTCAGCTGAAGGGTGTGGGACAGTCTGACTGAATTGTGTATCTTCTTGTGTAATATTCTTTTATCCATAGTTGTGGGTTAAAAGCCATACAGTGTCCAGGTATTCTACAATGGTAGAACTAAGTAATAGCCATAGTCTTGTAGTAATGTCATGTGTTTGCGTGTGGCATTGGGTGTTCTGTTAATTAAATTTTAAATGGCAGTACTGACCTTTTATCTTGTTTATATTTGCTAGGAGGTGCTAGTATTATTCAGTGCAACATTCTTAATGACAAGAGACATATATTAACCAAAGATACAAATAATAATGTGGCATACTGGGATGTTTTGAAGGTATGTGCAAATTATATATAAAGTGCAAATCTTTGACTTTTAGTATGGTATAGAAGTAAGTATATGAGAGAGAATTCACTTTTTTATTCTATAAATGAAAATTTAAAGGTTTTAAGAGCAAATGTAACAATCTTGTGACTGAGAAATTTCTGTATTTTTTTTTTTTTTCAATGTTCTGTTATTCAGGCATGTAAAGTTGAAGACCTTGGGAAAGTTGACTTTGAAGAAGAAATTAAAAAAAGATTTAAAATGGTGTATGTGCCAAACTGGTTCTCAGTAGACTTAAAAACTGGGGTAAGATTCAGGTTTCTTAATATGGGCCTTTTGTCATCTTTTGTGACAGTGGATGCAAGTTGTATACACTTCATACACTGATTTATCTGATAAAATTAAACATTTTGATCAGTATATTAGTAAATTTGGGATTTTGAGACTTTGGATAAGAGCTATAGGATTCCTTTTGAAAAGGTATTGTCAGTTTAATGTTGTTTAGCAATTTCCAGTGTAATATACATTGCCAAATCGTGTCTGAAGATACCCACTCATAATCAAACTTTGCTGGGCTTATGTAGCTGTAGTTTACAGTGGTTTGTTTGTTTGTTTGTTTGTTTGTTTTTTTTTTTTTTTTTTTTTTTTTTTTTTTTTTTTTTTTTTTTTTTTTTGATGCACAAAGAAGTCTGTAGCCTCCTTAATACAGAATATTGCAATATGTTTAGTTGGTGTGTATTTCTCAACAGATGTTGACAATTACTTTAGATGAGAGTGACTGCTTTGCAGCTTGGGTGTCGGCAAAAGATGCTGGATTTACCAGTCCAGATGGATCTGACCCAAAATGTGAGTTTAATATTAGTATTTTTCTAAAACAAAATCCCAGTACATATATTATCTATATTTGTAGCAGATGATGATTTTATAAGTGATTGCTTGGATTTTTCCAGTTTTCTTGGAACTAAATTCTCTATGTAAATTGCTAATGAAAATACTCTTGGAGATTTTAGAACAAGTTTTGCATTTGGTTTGTCTGTTTCATTTGGACATAGTCCTTCAAGGACAGTGAAAAAATACTGTTGCAAAACAGACTATTAAACAAAAAACCTAAGCCAGGCTTTAAGCCTGCAGCATAAGGTAGCTGAAAACAATTCAAACTTTGAAATAGCAAAGTAGTTTGTTTTGTCTGCAAAACTAAAAAGCAAGGAAAAGATTCACAAAGGGACTTGGGGATGGTGACACTGAGTATTCCTTTGCCTAAAACCTAGGTGCTAAGCCCTAACAGTGTATTTCACAAACAGAAGAATGGGTACCTTGGATTGGGATTCACACTACTCGGCTCATCAGGTGGAAAGATGCTGGGCAGGCCAACAGGAAATGCTGAAGAAAATCTTGCCTTACTCCCCAACTCAACAATCTGATGCATCCCTTAGATAGACTTAATGTCTCACTAGAGTTCACAATCTAAAACCTCTGCCTATAGTTGGGTACTGAAGTCATCCTTTTGTATACAGACTGTATCATTTCCTCTCCACCTCCCCTTTTAAGATACAGCTGGAGGAAGAGAAACTGGGTGCATCTACAAGAGACACTAACCGCACAGTACCGTGCAGGACAACCGTACTAATATGCTACTATGCAGTAGTATTAGGCTACTGTGCAGTTAGTGTTACTAAAAAGCCATGCACTGGTGCTGCTGCACAGTAGTGCCAGTTATTGCTTATTGATTTAGTACTTGGTTATACAAGTACTAAACTTAATGCACCGTAACTACGGCACATTAATGAACATGTAGATGTGCCTGCTGGGTATGATGATGGTGATCTTTTGCATGAGAACTCTTCCCTAAGAAAGATCAAGGTTCAATTTCCTTCTTAGTCTGAGGGTGTTCCCATTCAGCAGTGCATACTTCTCAGGAGAGTGCCTGTTTATCAGGCTAGAACCTCGACTGTTGCAGCTGAGCCACTGTGCAGAAAAGAATTCAATATTTGTTGGGTCAGAGAGAGAGTAACCAAGAGGGAACCCAGCTCAGTAGCCCAGTGTTAAGGGCACTTCCTCAGACAGGGGAGTCCTGAATTATGGTCCCTGTTTCTGAGACTGTCTAGGAAGTGTAAGAAGCCTAAGTGGCTTATCCACAGGAAGTTCTTGCACGCTCAGTATTTCTTGAATTAACTCAAGCATTGCCTAAGAAATAAGAGCAGTTATAATCTACCTAATTAAATTATTAACACGCTGCAAATGAAAATATAGAAAGTTGCAGTGTCTCCTTTGTCCTTAGCCCGTCCATATGAAACGGTCAGTGACTTTACGTATTTTTTTTATCTTCTGTTTTTTGCATAACAATATCTTATAGTGAACCTTGGAGGACTTTTACTACAAGCACTTCTAGAATATTGGCCTAGAACACACATCAATCCAATGGATGAAGAGGAAAATGAAATAAATCATGGTTAGTACTTTCCTGTACACAACTGGAATCTTTTCTTCCTCCGCTCCGCCCACCTCCCACTCAACATTCATAGCTGGTTTGGTATACGTAAGGTATTTGCAGCAATTTCTACATCTACAACAGCTTTTAACATAACTTTGCATTGAAATATCATTTAGCACTTCTTTAGCAAATAATTATGTTCAGAATCTTTTGAACTACTATACAGGGAAAGTGATTTAAGTTGATATTCAATATATACAAATCCTATTCCTTGGAGGGGGGAAAAATGCTAGTAAAAATTAAAGCTATCCATTTAATGGATGCACATCCTGTGAGTTCTAGGTGGTATTAGGGAACATCAGAATGCAGTTCAACAAGGAGAAATGCAAAGTGCTGCACCTAGGGAGGAAAAATGTCCAGCACACCTACAGCCTAGGGAATGACCTGCTGGGTGGCACGGAAGTGGAAAGGGACCTTGGAGTCCTAGTGGACTCCAAGATGAACATGAGTCGGCAGTGTGACGAAGCCATCAGGAAAGCCAATGGCACTTTATCGTGCATCAGCAGATGCATGACGAATAGGTCCAAGGAGGTGATACTTCCCCTCTATCGGGCGCTGGTCAGACCGCAGTTGGAGTACTGTGTGCAATTCTGGGCGCCACAATTCAAGAGGGATGCGGATAACCTGGAGAGGGTTCAGAGAAGGGCCACTCGTATGGTTAAGGGCTTGCAGACCAAGCCCTACGAGGAGAGACTAGAGAAACTGGACCTTTTCAGCCTCTGCAAGAGAAGGTTGAGAGGCGACCTTGTGGCTGCCTATAAGTTCATCACGGGGGCACAGAAGGGAATTGGTGATTATTTATTCACCAAGGCGCCCCCAGGGGTTACAAGAAATAATGGCCACAAGCTAGCAGAGAGCAGATTTAGACTGGACATTAGGAAGAACTTCTTCACAGTTCGAGTGGCCAGGGTCTGCCTGCCTATGCAGGGGGTTGGACTCGATGATCTATTGAGGTCCCTTCCGACCCTAACATCTATGAATCAGTAATTCATAGATGTTAGGGTTGGAAGGGACCTCAATAGATTGAGTCCGACACCCTGCATAGGCAGGGAAGTGTGCTGGGATCAGATGACCACAGCCAGATGCCCATCTAACCTCCTTTTGAAGACCCTCAGGGTAGGGGAGAGCACCACCTCCCTTGGGAGCCCGTTCCAGACCCTGGCCACTCGAACTGTGAAGAAGTTCTTCCTAATGTCCAGTCTAAATCTGCTCTCTGCTAGCTTATGACCATTATTTCTTGTAACCCCCGGGAGCGCCTTGGTGAATAGAGCTTCACCGATTCCCTTCTGTGCCCCCGTGATGAACTTATAGGCAGCCACAAGGTCGCCTCTCAACCTTCTCTTGCGGAGGCTGAAGAGGGCCAGGTGCCCCAGTCTCTCCTCATAGGGCTTGGCCTGCAAGCCCTTAACCATACGAGCGGCCCTTCTCTGGACCCTCTCCAGGTTATCCACATCCCTCTTGAATTGTGGTGCCCAAAACTGGCCGCAGTATTCCAGCTGCGGTCTGACCAGTGCCCAATAGAGGGGAAGTATCACCTCCTTGGTTCTGATTGTCATGCATCAGTTAGGGATTTTTAGGTTACTGATCATGTAAGAAGAATGTCAGGGGAACAAGGACTAATTTGCTTGTACATACTGTTAGCAAAAATATCATTGTTTGAAAGAGTTGTATGGAATGTATGTTGGAAGAAAAAAAGAAGTCTGTATAAATCTTTGAAGTCATTTCAGGAGTAATCCTCAGCTGCAATAAAAACAGTCATATTGCCAGGGTTGCTAATAGGACACGCACGGGCAAAATATGACCCACAGGCAGGATGTGGCTGGCAGAAGGATTTTATCTGGCCCACAACAGGTCCCTTGATTCTGCCTGGCCCAAGTGCAGTCTGGCCTGTGGTGCATCCCACTTCCCCTGGGCACACAGTAAGGCAGGGGCAGCTTGGCAGCTGCTCCAATTCCCAGCAGCCCTGATGGTGGTGGCTCCTTCTGGCTGCCACCATTGCTGAAACTGGCCCCGCTGCCTGGGCCTGTCCACCTTGTGCCATCTGAGGGGAGGGACCCTGTGAGGCCTTCAGTCAGCGCAGATGTAGTTGGGGATCTTCTGGAAGGGCTAGACACTTTTAAATCTGCAGGTCCAGATGCCCTCCACCCAGCGGTGTTGAGGGAGCTGGCAGGGGTCATTGCGGAGCCCTTGGCCCGGCTGTACGAGCATTCGTGGTCATCTGGCCAGGTGCTGGGGGATTGGAAATTGGCTAATGTGGTCCCAATTTTCAAGAAGGGGAGGAAGGAGGACCCAAGTAACTATAGGCCTTGTAAACCTTACCTCGGTGCTCGGGAAGATCTTGGAGAGAATCATCAAGGAGCACATCTGTGGGGGCCTGCAGGGGAGATCATGCTCAAGGGCGATCAGCATGGGTTCATCAAAGGCAGGGCCTGCCATACCAACCTGATTGCCTTTTATGACCAAGTAACTAAATCCCTGGATGATGGTGTCGCTGTGGACATAGTCTTTCTAGACTTTAAGAAGGCCTTTGACACTGTCTCTCACCCCATCCTCATCAATAAATTAAGCAACTGCGGCATTGATGCCTACACAGTTGGATTGGTAAAAAAATTGGGTGATGGGACGCACCCAAAGAGCAATGGTGGACGGGTTGTACTCAACTTGGCGAGATGTGAGCAGTGGGGGTACCCCAGGGCTCGGTCAGGCCTGCACTGTTTAACATCTTCATCAGTGACTTGGACGAGGGGGTGGAAAGCACCCTGTCCAAGTTTGCTGATGACAGCAAGATGTGGGGCGAGGTGGACACACTTGAAGGGAGAGAGAGGCTGCAACTAGATTTAGACAGACTACAAAAGTGGGCAGATGAGAATAGGATGGGGTTCAACGTAGACAAATGCAGGGTGCTGCACCTTGGGAGAAGGAATCCACAGCATACATACAGGCTGGGGAGTTCCCTTCTTGAAAGCACAGAGGCGGAAAGGGATCTTGGAGTCATTATT